TCCACAGTAGACGCCGGCTTTGGAGGGGGCATTTTTGTAAAGCTGAATCTGACCGTTGCAGGCGGTCACCCAGGTGTTTGTTTGAAATCGCTGGGGATTGTCCCTGGTCACACACAGCTTGGCTTGTGTCTCGGGAAAGCTGGGAGAAGATTAATTCACTGTCTGTTGGCGAAGTGGATTTATTCCAGGAAACAGGATTTCATTTGAATCAGCAGCAGCACAATTAAAGGAATGGTAAACTGAAGCAATTCAGTGACTTTTTAGGAGAAGAGCTGCCCACAGCAAGTCAAAGCTCCTTTATTTGCAAATACAATAAATATCCCAACACAAACATCTATTATATACACTGTATATAGATAGCTACATTCGAGATATATATTTTTTGATTCGTTACTAGAGATTGCTGTGCTTGAAGACCAAATTTTAATATTTTCTGGTTTTGGATATTCTGGGGAAGGTTTAGAACCCCTCTTAGGTTTTGATTCTGCATTGTGCATGCCCTTTGTGGAGATTTCCTCTAACTTCCTGTCTCAGTGATGGGGATTCAGAGAGATAGGAAAATGCAATGGGGACAAAAACTGCAACAAAAACACTTACTCGAATACATTGGTCAAGGGTAAGAACCTCTGTCAGATGTTTTATTGCTATCTGTGTCTTCCTGTCCCAGTGACCCATGTTCCTCTAATATCTATGACCTTGTGTCACAAGGGAGTCACTGGCTGACTCTTGGGTTGCGTGACTGGCATCAACAGACAGAAAAACTGACTTGCATGAGTTTAATTCTTTCACTCATTATGTGATTTACCTGTCCATTAGATTCTTCTTCCTTTTTTTTTCTTTATTTTTATTTTTGTCACCGTAGACCCTTTACCAGTCACTGTCTGCTTTCTAGGTACCCTTCATCATGGAGACCTCAGTAGTTAAATGTTTTCACTCCTATTGACTCTTATTTACTATTGGTGTTTGAAAATGTTTAAGCTGTTTGCAAAGTGAGAATATTACGCTGTACTGAAAAGGTGTAGAATCTTTTGTCTACATAGTTCTCCAGTTCTGTTGGGTTGAACATTTTCCAAATAGTTTTTTAATAGTTTTTTGTGTTATTGAATTTACACGCCTGTGAGGCTTTGTACAGGAGTGTAAAAAGGAGTGCTGCTCCCCCCCCCCTGAGAGATTTCTGCAGGAGAATAGCAATGAGCTGAATTGCTTAAAGGAAACCTGTCATGAGATGAATATGGGGCATGCCACAGCTGACCTCATTTGGAGAATGCAAATTGCCTGGTTGTCTTTGTTTTTTATTTCTTTTAATATGGTTTCTCAATTTGGAAAACTAGTAGTGGTCTGCAGGCCTCTTTAACATCCAGTTTTGTCTTTATTTTATCCAACTCTGATCCACCTACAGCTCCCTGCAAATACATCTTCGTATTATAGCTTGTCCATTGAAAGTTTACAACTTTAAAAGTTGTTTATAGCTAAAGAGATGAATTTAGTCCCATTAATTAGCGGCATTATTGTTTAGGGGTTTGCTTGTTCTTTCCTGCTGGTTAGTCCATTTTTAAAAACCCTTTTAAAGCTTTACTAACAATTAACTCCCTGCTAAATACACATTTGGCATACAGATATGGGATCTCATGCTTTGGAATTATTTTCAGCCAATGTTGTGATCCAGATAACACTGGCAGACGTCGTAACAGTAACATACTACTTACTGTCAGGCATAGCAAATCAATTCCTTGCAATAAGCAAGTGTATATGTATGTATGTGTGTGTATGTGATATATATATATATAT